CGGGACCCGTTCGGGCTGCCGCGCTTCTGGGACGCGCGAGGTATGGGCGGGGAGCGGAGCGCGGCGGGGTCAGGCGGGCGGGTCAGGAGCGGGCCGGGCGGTGTCCGTGGTGCCGGCGCCTGGCGGGGCTCTGACGTGCCAGCGGGATCCCCGGCAGGGCTTCGGGCGGGGCCTCTGCGTCTTCCCTCCGCTCCGGAGTGTTGGCGTTGGCAGAGCAGGGGCCGGTGTGGAACAGATCTCACAGCGAGATTTGTAAAGCCTTTGCTCGCTGTTAAAGCCTCACAGCACAGCCCAGTGGAGGTGTCATGGACCAGGGCACGGAATGTGGCTGTGGATATCACTACCAGTGAAAAAAAATAGAAAAAAAGCAGACATAGGACACATGCACCATGCACGTGCATATACCATGGAATTTTTCTTCTATATTGGAATTTAATTTATATTTTTGTGTTGCTTGGAAGGAAGATAATCAAATAGAGCAAGGCAGCATCGGAGATGTTGCTTGTGTAGCTGCTCTGTTCTTTTGTCTTTTACCAAAGTTACTTTCTGTGCTTTTGCCTCCATTGAATCCTTTTTAGGTCAGACATTCAAAGTAACGTCACAGGAAGCTACAAAGCTGAGTTTGGCATTCTCAAGGCCTCCACTGGCTTCAGCAGAGGTAAGAGAAAGCCTCCACAAACTTTTGAAATTGCAGTGTCGGTGACAAGTTTCAGGCATCTCTTAGTTCTCTTTGGTAAAGCAAATTCAGTTGGTCGGTGTGGGCTGTGCCCTGGGGAGTGTGTGAATCCAGCTCAGGAATTGCCCAGAAAACTGATTTCTTATGTTCTTTTCTTTAACATCTACAGCTGGTTGCTGATAGGGACAGGATATTGGGCAATACAGACCTTAGATCTAACAAAGAATGCATAGTCTTTTTGCTGTTGAGAGTGGTTTATCACACCTGTGTTTGAAGAAGAAAAATGCCACCTCCAGTTCAGAATAATGATCTAAGCTGCTCTTCCTCTCTGGTGCAGGACCACTACACAAGGGTAGTATGGGAACCAGGTCATGAGGTGGCTTATGATGTAAGCTGCTTGCTTCCTGGGCCTTCCTGTTGTGCTCTGTTTGTTTCTCAAGCAATGTGGCTATTGCTATGCTTCACTTTTCTCAATCTGAATATAAGTGATTGCTGGTGAGACTTTGTAAATGCAGTGCAGCCTTTCAGTGTCCACAGCTAATCCTTTTGCCTCTCTGTTTTCAGGAGTGCCAGAAGTTGAGTGAAGATGTCCAAAAAGCCATTCTTGCAGTTGCCGCAGTGTACTATTGGTTCCCCAAGGGCCGAGGTGAGAGATGGGGAGGGCAGGGCAGTCACCACTATACAGCATGCTGGTTTTTTCACCCAGTATTTCAGAGCATAACGTGACATCTGGTATCTGCAGGAAGGTAAGTTATGATGAGTAGCCAGCCCCATTATCAGCTATTCTGTGGACTTGAAACATGTTTATGAGTGAACCCGTTGCTCCTGCAGATGTCCATCTATCAGAGTGATAGTGTAGGAAGTTGTATAGTTGATTGAGCATTCATATTTATGAAATGTTGAGATCCTTGCCCAAAGTCCTTTTGGAACTGGGAAAGAAGTTGCTTCCTTCAGAAGACCTGTAACTTCATTTCTAGTGTATGCACAGAGATGAGGCAGGCTGTGCTCAGGCTGTGCAGTTGTCCTGTTGGTGCTGACTTAGTGGCAACTTTCTTGCTTTCTTTCCATCTCAACCAGGTACTACTCTTCGGAAGATGGTACGAGATGCTACCACTGAAGTAGTGGAAGGAATGATCCAACTCACAGAAGCAATTCTCAGTGCTCCATTGGAGAGGTAGTAATTTTCCAGAAAAAAAGGAAGAAAAAGTTACAAGTATCTTGTTAGGAAGCAGCAAGTGCAGCTTACTTCCTGAGGGAAAAGGGCAGAAAAATGCAGTGGCCTCGTCACCAGAGGCCCTGTCCTCTGTATCTGAGTGAGCACAGCAGTGCTGGGGAGGGCAGTGAGGTTCTCTTGAGTGTCCAGCCAAGCCTGTAGCGATGAGGTCAAGCTGCAAAGTTGGGTGTCACCAGCTGATCCTGGGGGCTCCTGGCTGTCAGGGGCTCCCGCGACTGCCCCCCTGATGTGGAGGGGTTTGTGAACGAGCCCGAGGGTCACACGCGGCGCTGCCTCTCACAGAGGAGCGGCTGCTGCGGGGCCGTGTTTTAGAGCAGTGGTTCGGATGCACCCCCCGCGCTCAGAAATTGCCTCTGAGACCAGTGTTTGCTGCACAAATTAATCGGTTTATTAAGGGTTAACACAAACTGAGGGATGATGTTTAGGGAAAATGCAAATATAAATGGCTACCAGGGATATATATATATCTATATGTGTGTGTGTGTGTATATATATATACGCACAGTAAGAAAGTGTCCTTTAGGGAGGTAATGCAAAAGGTCCTGTGCTTTTAAATAAGACGGTTAAGGACCAAAGAGAGGAGGGAAGGGCCCACCTGCTGCACTTGCAGCCTTTTATACCCCCCTGACCCCACCTGTCCAGTCAGTGTCACTGTCCAGAGCCAAGGAGCGTGCATGAGCCCCAAGTTAGGGTGGTGACTGCCAGGGGCACAGGATGGCTTGTGGCCCATCCTTTCTGTCCCACACCACATCTGTTGTTTTGGTTTCAATTGTCCTTGAGAAGCAAATCTGTCTTAGTCTGTTAGCTGGGAATAGTCAGGCCTTTGCTGACTTAAAAGGCATTTTGTTTAGACTTACGTGGGGAAGAAAAGAACAGTTTCCCACATCAGGCCAGCAAGTCAGGATCAAGGTCAGGTCCAGAGAGAGTAACCAGCATCAGACACCATCTAGTGGTTGCCTAGCATGTCCATTACAATGAGTTTGGTTTGAGGTGAAGGCAAGAAGGTCAAATCAGTAGGTCAGGATCCAGGTCAGAATGAAGGGGATGTGAGACTGGGTGCAGACATACCTGCTGTGATGGAGCACCAAGAGAGCCCAGGGAAAGAATGTCAGGCTAATACCATCTCCTGGGGGTGGGATACACTCCACGCCCTGATATACCCTCTTGTTCCCATGACCAGGTCAGGTACGTTTGCCTACACGGAGAATATTTTCATCATGTCCCGAGCAAGGAGAGATGCTAGAAGCAGGATTCCCATGAAGGTGCTGGATAGCATTTGCACTGTACGGCAGATTTTGCCCTCTGCAGTGAACTGTCAAACACAATGATGGCTCAGCTTTATAAATGTAGTTATGGGAGTGCTATGAAGCACTTTCTCTTTACAGGTTACACCCTGTTGCCCTTAGGCAGAGGTCAGCAATCTCTAGTACAGGCTTCTGCTTTGCACAGATTGTGAAAGAGAAATACAGTGCTTAAGCACCGTGAGAAGCCTTTCTAAGAGGCTCCTGCTTCTGGTTCCAACAGATAATTAAATTCAGTAGGAGCCAGGACTTCTTCCTTTCCACAGACATGAGATACCAGTGACAAGCTGTTGGAGACATCTTTCCAGCAGAGCTTCTACTGGTGTGCATCATCTTTGGTGCAGACAATAAAAATACAGTCTAGCAGAGTGGTGCCACTGAGTCTAACTTTTGGGGGCTTTGTTTTGTTTCAGCTTGTCTCAGGATCAGCTTATATCAACTGGTGGTGTGTGGGAGGCGTGTGAGCAAGTGTCCAACCTGCCACGAGGTGAGTGTTGTGTCTGCAGAACAACTGAAGTAGGACATGTTGTCTTGGAATATCTGTAGCCCCTGTAAGGGGCATTCTAGCTAGAACAACGAAAGCTTGCTTATTCTGCAGAACCTCACTGTATTTGGATTGTTTGAGCTTGGGAACCAGGCCAGATTCTCTGCATGGCAGCAGTGCAGCTCTGAGCTCTGAAAAAAAATTGATCCTGTAGTCTTAAGATCTAAGTTATGTGCTGATTTGAATCAGCATAGTGACACAGTTTTATTGTTTTTGCTCTTGCAGATAACCAGGCAGCAGTTGTGTCAGCTCTGACTGCATGTCTAGGTGTGGTCAGAGATGCTCTGGAGGAGATGGAACATGTAAGGAAGCCCCTAAGCCTTTGAGAAACCTTCAGTGATGGAACACAGGGATTGTTTTATATACAGGCTTTGACTTAAATTTGATGGAGCCAGACTCTTCAGTAGATCCCAGTGACAGGACAAGGGGCAGTGGGCACAAGCTGGAACACAGGAAGTTCCATTTAAATATGAGGAAAAACTTGGGTAAAGTAGGGGTGACAGAGCCCTGGGACAGGCTGCCCAGGGAGGTTGTGGGATCCCCTTCTCTGGAGATATTCAAGACCTGCCTGGATGCACTCCTGGATAATGTGCTCTGGGCAATCCTGCTTTAGCAGGGAGATTGGACTGGACGATCTCTTGAGGTCCCTTCCAACTCTGACAATTCCGTAATTCCGTGATCGTATTACACCTGGATCTTAATGAGTTCTTAAACTCAAGCCTGGTTTTACTTTATATATGATTTCCATAAAGCCATGTACTGAATTATGGAGTGGGGTGGCTGGGCAGTTTAAGTCAATGTAAGAATGGCACTATTTGCCAGGTTCTTCCTCTTTGTTATGTTGAATTGGAGGATTAGTTTCTCTTAATCCAGTCCTGCAGGGATTAACAGAATCTGGCTGCAGAGACACTGGCTGGAGAGAGATTCCTCCATATTTTCTTGCATGACTTCTAGATTGTGTTTTATGTTTTCACTTTCCTCCTGGATATTGCTGGAATTAATGTTGGGCTCTGGGTTTTCACTGCATCTATGTTTTCAGGCTCTGGTGGAAGGGCAGGACCCTTACAGTGACATCATGGAAGATGAAGAGCTGGGCCTGCGAGGCAACAGAGACATGTACTGGTCAGAGGCTGACAGGAAGCTGCTGAGCTCCTGCATGGGATTGATGAAGGCTTCAAAAGCTTGCCTAAAGAAGCTGTTGAGTGTAGTGAAGGCTTACGGCAAAGCTGATTCTCCAGAGCAGATTGCTCAACTGGATGATCTTGCAGACATTGCTCATGAGATCAGTCCAAGGTAAGCAGGTCTCTTCTCATGCTGCTTTCTTCTCCAGAGCAGTCCCTGTCTTGAGGGCTAGAAAATGGATTTGGAAAACCTTTATGATATCAAGACTGATCAGGTGGTGGAAGTGGATGTGGTGGGAAAACAATTATGGCCTAGGCTGTTGAGAATTGTGCAAGTTAGGAGAGGAACACGTTGTAGCTTGGGGTGGAGCTGTGCCACATGTCATCCTAAAGTGTGAGAGTGGCACACAGATCTCTGAGCAGGCAGTGAGAAGCACTACGTGCTATGACTGAGAATGTCTCCTTGTCATGCATGCCATTCCTGACTTGCATTCAGGGTGAGTATAGGCTTTGACCAGGATCCATGAGTTGTGCTATCAAGACCTTTCTTCCTTTGTTCCCCTCTCTTCTCTTCTAGTGTTGATGAGCTTGCACTGAGCATGTATCCACCTGTGAACCAGTTGGCTGTGCGCCTCCATGTAAGTATCCACAGCCTGTGTGTGGTTCTGCTTACTTGGCTGTAGAGAAGGGTAAGAAATTGAATTGGAGGGATTTTGTGACTTTCAGGGAGAGATGGGTGTTAGTGACTGTCTCAGTAGCAAGTTTTTAGGGATGAAGAGTTCTCTTTGGTTCCTGCACACTTAGCTTCCTTCAGGTGGAAATGCATGCCTCGTCTTCACTTCCTCAGGGAAGAGTATGGCCTCTTGGACTTTGGCTCTGAACTGTAATCTGTAGACATCCAGTGACAGTACCTCAGGAAAGTGAGATCTAAGACTGCTGATGGATTTCTGCTTTCTTGTTTGGGTGACATAAGCTTACTCAGATAAAGTTAGCTAAATTAAAAATTAAAATTTCTCACAGTGGGCATGGTTGAGCACTGAAACAAGCTGCTTTGAGAAGCAGTGGAGTCTTCATCTTTGGCAATACTCAAAACTTGACTGAGCAAGGCTCTGAGCAACCTGACTGAATTTGAGGTAGGCAGGCCTTACTTTGTGCAGGAGGTAGTACTAGATGACTCCCAGGGGTTCTTTGCATCATAAACTAAGTATGCACCTTCTCCCATCTGAGATTTTTCTTCTTAATTCTGGTTCCATGCCTTTGGCCAGTGGCTTGATTTTTTTGGAGTAAAAAATAACATACTGCTTAATATTGAATTGCATTACAATTGGTCACTTGTAACTTCATATGTTAATATTACTTACCAATTTGTAATGAGTTTACTGTTCTTAATAAGCAAATGTTTTAACATATGCTTTAAAAAACAGGCTGTCTTTATTTCCACCTGTCCCAACCGGCAGTAGAATGGCAGACGCTCCTAGCATGGCAGTGATAGATAGCTTCCTTCTGCATCAGGATCTGTGGCAGTTTTACTCATTCTTGTGTTGAACATTCCTGCACCCTCTCTTATTTTCCAGTACTGCTGAGCCTGCTTTTTTCTGTGTTTAACTGTTTACTTCCTTTTTGTTTCTTTCTAGGCTGCTAAATTGGCCTCAGTGTTAAAGAAAGTCTTAGAGATTACAAAGTGAGTATCAGTGTCAGTTTTGTAAGTGTGTGTGTTCCCTGCTATGAAGGTTGATATCTTTATCTTTTTCCCTCCTGTCAAAGATGACTCATTTCTAGACAGTAAACATTGTAATTTTGGAATAATTGTTATGTTATCCAGTCACGAAGGGGTGAGAGTAAGAAAAGGATGGTAGGGATGAAGACACAGACAAATGTGTTAAGGTTTGGGACTAGAGACATGGATATGGGTTCTTCCTTGCTCAAGACACTCTGGGGCTATAGCAGTCCTGTTTTAATGCTGTGGTAATTCAGCACTTCACAGTTCCTATGTGTTGTCTGGCTGAACAGGTAGAAGACACCCAGGAGGTTTTCCTAATGAATTTCCTCCACTTTTACAGGACAAGCCATGTCTGTCCACCATCAGAGGAAGGCTGGGTGCAGTTTCTAACTGGTGCAGTAGATCACAACATGAACAAAATCAAGAGCTTCACACAGGGTCAACTTTAGCTCTTCCATGTCTACATCTGTTGCTGCCACTGCTGCTGGTATATGCTTTTCCAGTGGATCTCTCTGTTCTCCAGCTACTGGGAGAATGATGGGAACAGGTTTTTTTGGAGATAACTTTACTGCCACTTGGCAAAGCTTTCCCAAGAAATCACTTTTTGCCATTCCAGGAGGTGTTATTTTGCTTGGATTCCTGGGGTGTGCAGTGCTGCATCTTAGTTCTGTGAATGCACCCTATTTTTCAGATATGGGGTTCAAAGAATAATAAAATATTGCTAGAATTGCATGAGTGGCTTTATCTGTTTTCAGGTGGTAGGGTGTATATATACAGAAGGAAAGGGTCTTGCTTCCTTTGCAAGCAGCCCAATGAGCCATTAAAAAGTAGGCAGCAGTGCTGCTGTTTGCTGTCTAACCTTAGAAAAGAGCGAAGTATATTTCTCTTTTCTAAAGCAGTAGAAAATACTATTTGCTACTTTATGAAGGGTTTTTAGTGGAAAAGACTCTATCTCCAGATAAATGCTACATCTCTCATCACTTTAAAGTTCTAGAATATCCTTTTTTTGGTCATGGGTAGGGAAAAATTACTAAGCAGTGGTGGGTTCATCACATATGCATGGTGAGAAATGCAACATCTGCTTGAGTATGTAGCCTATCTTTGTCACAGTGAGGTTCAGCTTACAAAACTGTAGAGTGGGCATAGTGGCAGGTGGGAGAGAGTTGGGTTTGTACAAATAATCAAAGTCAGGCATGATTTTAATGTAACTTTAATTAAACTGTTACCATCTATACTTGCCTAAGATCAGAGTATGGATCATAGCCACTGTTTTGTGAGCGGGTCAGCAGGATGTGTTCCAAGCTGGGTATCAGAAAGCTGCAATGTTGATAGTTTTGTAGCTCTTCAGGTTCTGGAGTTGGAGGCAGGTAAGATGTGCAGTGAGTCTTCTAGGCCCTGGTTGGGTGGGGGTGAATGGGATTTGCAGCTGTTGAATGCTTTTAGGTTGCACTGAGCCAAGCCTGAAAGGTGAGAAGGAGTTATAACAGGAAGAGCACCTCTTTGTATTTCTAGTTCCCAGGACCCAGGAGATGGATTTGCTAGACAGAAATGTGGTCCCAAAAAAAGGAAAGGAAAAAAACCCCACAACACAAAACCAGAAGGCTACCAGTTATCTAAACTACAACAATGGAATTGTGATCTGACAGTAGTTTGGGAGTGAGATACATCAGGAGGATTGAACTCCCCATGGAAGCATTTGAGGTTACTTTGTCCTAATACAGTTCTTGAGAGAAATATGGAGGTTTTTTCATGTGAAGGACAGCGTGCCTTTTTGGATGACTCTTGGCTAAGTCAGGTTTGCTGGGTTCTTCAAGAGAGAAGGCAAAGACTCTGTTCAAATTGTACCCAGGGACTGTCTTTATTGCTGACAGTGGGTAGTGGGTGGAAAGATAGATCACAGTGTATTTTTACCTCACTTTTGTTCAGTTGACTAGCAAAAAAGCAATTGATTTCACAAAAGCAAATAATTTCTAAATTTCATAGCTCGTGTCAGTCACCTATAACTTATTTTACTTAACGTGTATTTCTGCCTAAGCCTTCCAGTACTTCTCTTGTACCTTCTCTTGTACCAAAAACAGTCTTTTTGTTACCAGGGACTTTTCCTTCTGCTGTCTATGCCTATGGGTTGAAGCTTTCACAAACGCCATGCTGCCTTCAGCTTACATACTACACATCTGTTGAAAGTTCTGTTATGTGTCTTTTCTCCTTTTCAGTGTGAAAACATTCTGTATTATCTGTAAATAAAGGATGGGATGCCTGGGGCTTTCATGCTGTAGCAGTGTCTTCTTGCCACATTGTTGCCCACTTATTCTGGAGGACAGCCTTTCCTGTCCAAAGGTTTCTTTAGCTTGTGTTGTGTCTTTGTCCATTTACTGTTCTAAGATCAGTCAGTTTGCACTTACCTGTACTTCCTTTGTCTGTAAATGAGCCCTCGCCCTGCAACCACTATCACACACTTCTCCAAGGGTTCTGTGAGGGGGTTCAGGAGGCTGATCTTTGCTGTGCTTGGCTGATATTGTACCATATTTTCTGGAAACTGTTGAAAGAAGGAAATGCGCTGAAATTGAAAGAAGGAAAGAGATTCTTCTATATTTAAAGGGAAATAAATGATGCTTTCATGTCAGAAGTCTCAGCCTGAGCTGCCAGTTGCCAGAAGAGGCAAAGTTCAGTTTACTTTATTTTCAGCTACAGTCTTCAGCTGTAGTTTTCTCCTGCAGCCTCTGATTCCAGGCTGGTGAGTCAGGAGTCGTTGGGATTTTCTTATGCTCACACATAGACAAGGTAGAAGTGGGAGTGCTGTACAGCAGCGTGGCACGAGTCACCTTTCGCAAACTGGTGTCTTACTGCTTTGACAGAAGAGGGCAGGAGGAGAGCCACTCTACCCAGCTGAATTGTTTTACTGCTTACATCTATGAAAACTGTTTTCTCACTGCTGCAGTAACAGAACAATAGACCTGTCTTACCTCAATAGTGAGAGGGGGGTCACAAATGCTGATCTCTTCCTGTGCAAAGTATATGTGGAAGGAGTCCTCGTCTCTCAGTGTGGCAGTCAGCCTAAGCAGATGGCTCTGTCCCAGCTCTCTTCTGTACCGTGAGTAAGGCACAAAGACCTGCAGGTTGTTAGCTGGAATATGGAGATGACAATGCAGATGATAACTACAGTTTGGTCTTAGCCTGCATGACACCTAGGAGTCTTTAGTGTCCAACATTATACTAAAACCTTCACCATTTAAAAGTTTAACTGATCCAACTGGATTTGCAGATTTAAAATCTTTAAGGTGACGTAGCCCAAGTGTTTTTATTTAATCGCCTACAATCAGCTATTCTGCCAACCTGTTGTAAACTTATGGGTAAGTGCATTTTTCCTGAAGTGAGTGGACTAGAAATGCTCTTCCAGCCTTGCATCCAGTGGAATTCTTACCTTCATTATTTTTGAGGATAAAATGAAACTCTTCTTTCCAAACCTGGGTAACAGGCACACCATTATAATGTAGAGACTGGGCCCCAACTACCAGGTGAGTGGCCTTTTCTCCACCACTGTAGTTACACACTTCAATGGAAAGCGGAATATCTTGTCCCAGTGGCAAAGAATTCTTTGCCTGGAGATGGATGAAAAGGTTAACTGGCTCTTCAAAGGCAGTAGGAATGCAGCTAAACTGTGTCTCACTAAAGCTGCTGGTTGTCTCAAGGTTCTTTATCTTTCTATTGGCTTTGTCAAGTGCTTCTTTTTCCTGAAGAGAACCTGTCACAAAAAGGGGAGCACATATTTCAGTATTCTTTCCTGTTTACTAGTGTGAAGCAGTAGATGCAGAAGGATGGCATTGAATTGCTGGCAGCACTGTAGATAACTGTTCCCAAGAGCATAGAGAGATACCCTGTTGTGCTTCTGGTTGGAGCAGGTAAATAATTTCAGCTGACAGGATATTCACTGGAGGTACTTGAAAGATTCTACTTGGAAAGTTTTGACATTATTTTTAGAGCATCCTGGTGCTCACATCTGCCAGAGGAAAAGCTGCAGTTGGCTCTTTAACGGCAGCTGTAGCTGTGGCACATTCAGGACTGCAGCCAGGGAGACAACGTGCCATAGGCAGACACAAGATGGCAGAGCTGGGTCAGGGAAATGGCATTCAGTAATAGACTCTGAAGGGAGAGCTACTTTTAGAGGGAGGGATTTAGAGAATACCTGGGAGCATAACAGTCCTTTTCAGAAAGCTGGAGTCTGAAATATATCTATTATGGGGGTAATGGGAGGTAAATTTACAGAGTGTACAGGTAACAGAAATCAGGAAAGGTTTTCCAGACAAGAAAGTGCCTAGTGAAGGAAGGCCTGGTCTTTTAGAGAACTGATTAATGTGATTAAGCAGGATGAAATTTGGGGTATGACCTGTGCTTTGACAGCAAGAGTAAGGTGTTTTTGTGCCATTCAGGAAGGGGAAGTTGTGAGAGGTGGAGGACCATAATGCTTTGGAATGGCTCTGCTCTTTGGTCCTTTACTCTTCACTTGCAACACTGGCAGGGAGTGTGCTCAGCCACTTCCCTACTCCATACCTTCAGGATACTTGTAATTGTGTGTGATATCCTCACAACGTTCACTGCCCACACTTTTGGTGCTGATGTTGTTGCCAATGTACTTTGTGGGACCAAAAGCTGGCTTGAGGGTGTCATCTGCCTTTTGTATCCAGACCCGGCACTTGGCATTGATGGCAGCAAAGAAGGAGCAGACATCATAATCAACTTCTGTGTCACCTTCCTTGATGGCTTGAACAGGGGCTGGCCCACAGAAGGATGGACCTGAAGAGAAAATGTGGCCTAGTTAAGATTCAGATGCTCTACCAGCTAGACCCATGACTAGTTTAGATTTATACTAGGGGTGGTGAAGTATCTGTTTTTGGAGGATGTTAGGGAGCAGTGCTGTGACAGAGCTCTTGGAACTACATAAGCTGCACAAGCCATGAGGAATGATGATTTAGTGCTTAATGTTAGCAGGGTGAGGCCTCGTCCTTTAGCATCCTTCCATTGGAAGTTGGAGAAGGGAGGAATAGTGAACTGCTTTATTTGCTCCCTGCTCCACTTGCCCTGCCATCCTCACAAGACTGTCTTTGATATCTTACCTTTGCTTTTTTCCTGGCAGGTGGCATCCAGTGCCTGCCACCCGCTGTACTTTGGTAGCAAGTCTGCTCGAGCCATCCAGCATTCGTTCCAAACATGGAAGGTCCTTCAAGAGACAACATCACATGCATATACCAAGGGACTGAGACCTGAGGTACAGTAAAGTTTTAGCCAAACCACAGCCAATTAATGCTCCTTTGAAAGAGGTCAGTGCATGCTGAGGAGAGCAGAGACCATGGTTTTTGACACAAATGGAGGATCTCAGTTGAGTTTTCTTCTGTCCACCTCCCTGCAGCTGTTTATATTTTTCTTTTCTCCCCTCTATCACTTCCTAGATCCAGGTATTCTCAAATTGCTTGGACCCTGCCATTTTTTCTTACCAGACACGGGCATTCTTGTCTTGTGTAATCAGTGTCCCATCTTC